GGTGACCATGATTTTTGGCCAGGTCAATTTGTCCTAGAAAAACTGACTGTAGAGGACGCTGCAAGATGTCAGCGAACAGCGATAGTGAGAGATGTGGATGCACTGGAGCGAACAGTAAATGTAAAATGGATTGGTCCAGCACATAGTGACACTGTCGGCTATGGAAGTGACCCTGCAGTGGAGACTGTAAGTGTTTATGAGCTAGTAGAGCACCCAGATTTCTCCTTCTGCACTGGTGAGGTCGTTATCAGGTCAGCTGTGAACATAGACAAGTCTGAAGCAGATCTCACAAATGGGTCATTAGCAAGCAAAGAATCATTGCTTACCTCCTCTGGCTTCTTATCATGCATCGGAAATGTACTTGGGTACAAGGACAATGGAATTGAAGTGCAATGGGCTAATGGTGTGATATCCAAGGTAACTTAGCTTTAACTCTGCCACTAACTTCGTCAGTCTGTCCTGGGTCCTGGTCATGTTTGGTTAGTTAGTTGTCTACTTTCTTAAGCTGCATTTATTTGCCATGTATTAGTTATATGTTCCAGTCTTTTTTTGAGCATGAGATATGGGTCTGGACAAACTAGCGGTAACACATTTCTCTCTTGTCCAATGACAGGTGCAGCATTTTGAGATAATTGGATTGGACAGGCTTCTTGATAATAGTTCTCTAGAATCAATGAATGAGGAACATACAATTGGTGATTCGCTAGACGAGGCTGAGCAGGAGGAAATGCACCATAAGGTCTGTCTGTCTGTCTGTCTCTCTCTCTCTCTCCCACCCTCTCTCCCTCCCACCATCTTTCCCTCCCTCCCTCCCTCCCTCTCTTTCTCAACCTTTTAAATTTATAAAGTGATCGCTGAACATTTTTTGTTTTTGTTCAGATTGCTCTGGAGTCTACTGAAGACTGCACTGGGTCCTTGTGCAAAGCCACTGCTTTTCTATTTCCCAAGACAGCTTTTGACTTCCTGACAAATGTGGCTGCTAGTTTTTTTGGTACTCATGGTTCTCCATCTCCAAGCTCAGTAAGTTATTTGTCAAGCAAATTCAGCCAAGTTCATTTTTTTCAGAGTTCTAAAGTGAATTTGGTATTCCAGGTTTTGGTAGATCCTCAATATGAAATTGTGAAGATGGCAGAAATGCAGCCATGTGTAGAAGAATTGCCAAAAGAAAAACAGATAGTGAAGTTTGTGGCGCAGATTGAGAAGCCAATCCTCTCTTCAGAAGATGCCATCTCAAAAAGATTTGATGTAGTCACTGACTGTTTGGATCATCATTTTGTGAAGGAAAATGGCCATGAAAGTGTAATGCAGCTTCTGAAGCTTTCACTGACATTTTTTTTCGAACAATAGTCATTGGTGCTGGAGAATTATGTGTAATGATGGTTATTTTCTATTTTAGGTTACAAGAGGTTGGCTGAAGAAGGTGCAACAGGAATGGAGCATCCTGCAAAAGGATCTACCAGGTGTGCTTTTGAGCACCGTTTAATTCAGTAAATCTGAAACTCCAGTAGCTGTTTAATTCACTCATTATTTCTTAGAGATAGTCAATACTATCGGTAGCAAATATGTACCATAACATTGAGTGCTGGCATACTTGCATTGGTGTTTAAGGCCAGGTGTAAGTCATAACACTCCACTGGCAAATATTCCATGTCATGGAAACCATATTACTGTTTCAAAAAAAAAAACATACTAGTACTTTCCTAGGTTTGTTGGATTGATTGCTATGTCTTGAGTCCTAGTCCATTTCTTAGTTTACTTCCTGTTTCCTACATTACTTAGATGGCTCCTAGTATATAAAGGTAAGGTCATGTTTAGGAATCAATCTAGTAAAGAGCTTTGCACACCCAAGTCGACTGATCAGAGTTTCATGGTGTTTGGGAAAACCCCGGAGTTGATGATCTCGCCATTATCTCATGTTCTGGTCCACGATATTCCATCTCAAGCAGTTACACTTGTTCATAGGCATTACAGAGTACAGAAACCAACGGTGTAGCTTATTATGTGACCTTTCGTTGAAATGTAAAGTGAATTGCCCACCCTTCACCATAAGCTTAAGATTTTGAGTTGAACCGTTTGATGCATGCAACTCGATACCTTTGCATATTCAGTGTAAAGCAAGCTATCGAAGTGCTACATGAATGAACAATTGAAAACATAACGATGGCATTCTTTGTAGGGTTTCTTGTCGTTGGTGGCTGAAAAAATATCACCTAATAGTCAAGTACTAAGCAATCATGGAATCTGATCATTAGATGTAGGTAAACAATTAGTTATACTGACTATTAGATGTTATAGCAAGTGCATGTTTCTTAAAAACTGATGGGTTATATTTTCTAGTATGATGTTTATATGTATGCTTTGTTTTAATTATGCAGATGGTATTCATGTGAGAGTTTATGAGGAAAGGATGGATCTTCTGAGGGCTTGCATTGTTGGGGCAGCTGGAACACCTTATCATGACAATCTTTTTTTCTTTGATATTTTCTTTCCTCCTGACTATCCCCATGAACCACCTGTAAGCTCTTCCATTCCAGTCTCTATTGTTCTTGTATAAATCTTACAGTTCTTTTTTTTTCAAATATCAAATAGTGTAAAATTTTCTTTCCAGTCTGTTCACTATCACTCTGGTGGTCTCCGTTTGAATCCAAATTTGTACGAGTCGGGAAAAGTATGTCTCAGCCTTCTGAAGACATGGACAGGAACTGGTAATGAGGTGTGGAATGCTGAGAACTCAACTGTTCTTCAGCTGTTGTTATCGCTTCAGGCACTTGTTCTCAATGAAAAACCTTATTTCAACGAGGCGGGATATGACAAATTTGTGGGTAAGGCTGATGGAGAGAAGAACTCCATCACGTACAATGAGAATGCTTTCCTGCTGTCATGCAAATCCATGATGTATGTTTTACACAAGCCACCAAAGGTATGTTGTCAGATCTGAAGTTGTCGTACTGACTAGTCTCTGAAAACATCTTAGTTCTTATGCATCTACCTTCAAACAGTTCGTATGTTTCAATTAAACTTCAGAAGTAAAGAATGCTTCTGAATTCATAATGCTATGAGTTCGATTAAACTTCAATTAAACAGCTCTGAAGTAAAGAATGCTTCTGAATTTATAATGCTATGAGTTGAGTATAGTATGTATTGTGGGAATCTGTATTGATTTAACAAGTTATGCTGCATCACTCAATGTTAATTGTTAAGATATGTATTGATGGAGTTGTCCTCATGTCTGAATTCAGCATTTTGAGAAGTTGGTCAAGGAGCATTTCACTTGTCGTGCCCCGCACATTCTGGATGCATGCGAGGCTTATCTTGGGGGTGATCTCGTTGGACATGCGCACGACAAAGCATACATATCAGAGGACGGCAGCAAGAACTGTTCAACCGGTTTCAAGATAATGCTTGGTAAGCTTCTGCCGAAGCTTGTTACTGCCTTCTGTGAGGCTGGTATCACCAGTGACCCGTAAACCAGAGCAAGCCTGCTCTCTACATCAGTAATGAAATTGGGACCCTTTTATATTGTGCGTGTATGCTGATGCTTGTGTATTCCAAATAAAATGTTGCCTGGTTTATGTGTTACTTATGCCTGTCTTGTAAATGTGGAACAGTATATATATACACATGATTGCTGAACTGATATGCTTGTCATGTAAATGCGGAACGGTATATACGCATGATTGGTGAACTGATATGTTGCTAAGCTAAAGGCAGCTAGAGACTGAAGTGTCTGGGATTGGGTTGTATTCTGCGTTCGGTGTGGGAATTTTTTTTTGTATATGTATGTTCTTCGATGGTTTTTGGACTATCGACATAGCAGTTGTCTGTATATATTTCCTCATCAAAGCGATCCGCCGTTATCGCCATGCTATTTATCTTGGCTATATGGATGTGCTGAATTTATTTATTTTTTAAAACAATTTATTATGCAAATTACAGAAATATATCTCGAAAATCCATGGAATACAAAAAATAATAGGTTGCCATTCTATAATTTTTGTTCTGTAAATGAAATCTATACAAAAAATAATAGGTTGTCGTACTATAATTTTTGTTCTCGCATGAAATGAAATCTATGTTTCCATTCTTATGTGAAATGAAATTTGAAAGACGTTCCTAGTAGATCGATATCTGTTTTATGAGAATAATCAATTTCCATGAGAATAATCATTTTTCATGGTACACACGTAGAACGATTTCCATTAATCATGTTTTTAGTCTTTTTTTCTAAAGCAAAGAGTCATGTTGCAAAAATGAGACTCGAAACATCGATCGTTTGCAGATTTGACACTGGATCCACATTCATAGACACATATGGACCCACTTGTCATCCATCCGAGTGTTATCATAATCAAGGAGTCAATCTTTCGAGTATCATTTTTGCAATTTTTTTGAAAAGAACAATTTTATTGCTCCACAGTGATTTATTTTTCATAGAAGAAAGCCACAGGCAAACAATGCAATATAAGTTGCAGCAAGAATGGCATAGTACTAATTTTTTTAGCAACTGTGGCAGGTACTCTGCCCTTTCATTATAGTGTAGGAAAGCAGAAAACAGTTTATATACAATTCCAACAAGGAAATTAAAGAAACCAGCCAAGAAAACAGACATAGTACTAGATACTAATTGACAAAAAAAAGGGCGGGCCTGGTGCAAGTGGTAGAGTCTTACCGCCTGTGACCGGAAGGTCCCGGGTTTGAGTCGCGGTCTCCTCGCATTGCACATGCGAAGGTAAGGCTTACCACTGACGCCCTTCCCCAGACCCCGCACAGAGCGGGAGCTCTCTACACTGGGTACGCCCTTTTTTTAATGTTTTCGAGAGATGCATGCACTCTCTGCAATTACACATCCATCTCTCAGTTCATGGAGGTGTCCACTTACACAACTTACTACACTTATACGGCTTATCAAAATCCTGATCCTCATTCTCGCAGGTGGTCCACGTCCATCTCCGAGCAGCGTATGCAGAAAATAATGCATCCAGCTGTCTTGTAGTTCTTCTTCAATGAAGTACAAGTTGAAGCTTACGGTCACACTTTGAAGATCTGTGGCGTTTGCGAGCACGAACCGCAAGAAAGCGGAGTTCGCAGCCAGTTCCCGTCATTCCCCTGAAATCTGCTTTGCGGAGGTTAGCTAGAGAGATATTGCTTGATTCCCAGTGGTCTGGATGGTTGCAGGTGAAAGCTGAGTCTACATCTTCTGAGTAATATTCATTCTGTTGCAACATGGAGATCGATATGCATGGTTTAGTGAGATGGAAACTCTGGATGAAACAAATATATAAGGCTGCAGGCTTGTTTAGTTTGGAGTTAGATAATGTGCTGCTCACCGTCTTAGGGCAGATATCTGACTGTAGACTGAGATATTCGAGATTTTTTAATCTTGTGAGGAGACCTGCGACCCCATCTCCAAAGGAATGGCACTCACATGTATGAGCAATGCTAACCAACAAAGACGTGACATTAGGAAGCTGTGGTATCTTATCTTTGATCAAGTCAACTTGCCGCTCATCTCCCTGACGATCAAATCAAGGGTCAGAAACAACAGATGCAATTAAGCAACAGGAAAAGGAATATTGTCAGCAATAGATCAGATTTGAACTGTGCATCTAGCAAAGCCAACGAATTGAAAGAGTGAGAAACAGACCAAATAAATGCCGCAGTCTCACAAGATATATATGTACCGATGGAACTATCGTCATCGTCCTCCTCCTTATGGGTGAGCTAATCTTTAAGCGCCACACGCGCGGCAAAGGGCCGTGGATGAAGGCTCTGTTACAGACATAAGTGAGGTCCTCGAGCCTCGGTGCCGAGACCCTGAGTGACTCGTGGTAGCACTAGTCGATCTCAAGATACAGGAGCTTCGGGGTCCTCAGTTCCAGCAACTCCATCCCCTCGACAGCCTCCATGGACAGCTCCAAGAGCTCACCGGTGTCGAGCACCAGCTCCTTGGTCCCAGCGCGACACAAGTTGACACACATCATGCGCAGCTTCTGCAACCTTGGGCAGCACACCGATGACAAGAGGCGAGAAAGAAGGTGGCCACTGCCCGCTGCTAAGGCCCAGATGCGAAATTTTTTGCAAAATGCAACTGTAGCGTTTTTCGTTGTTATTTGATAATTAGTGTCCAATTATAGTCTAATTAGACTTAAAATATTCGTCTCGTGGATTTCGTCTAAACTGTGTAATTAGTTTTATTTTTTATTTATATTTAATGTTTTATGCATGCATTCAAAGATTCGATGTAACGAGAAATCTTGAAAAATTTGGCAAAATGAAATGGAACTAAATAGGGCCTAAGTCCACAAATTCGAGCGTGAGGTCCTTGAGTGATGTGAACACCACGGTGCGCGGGAGTCGGACTTCTGCGTTGCTTAACCCCAAACGCATACACTCCAGCTTTGGGGAGCTAAGAAGAAGCTCATCGAGATCCATTACAGGCGTCTTGTTTTTTAGTGGCAGCAGGCGAAGGTTGAACTGGAAGCCCTTCACTTGGTGATGCATGGCGTGCCGAATCCACGCCTCAGCTGCTTCCATGGCCGGAGTCAGGAGTTGTTCGGCTGTTGCCTGTGCGGCGGCTTTGACTACGGCTACGACTACAGTACTCAGCCGCAGCCGCTGCCGCTGCGGCGGCAGGCCGTGGAGAGAGTACGCGTCCATTAACAGCGGGATCTTCACTTCGTCGATGCGGACTTCCGATGTCGCACCCGCTCGCTGCTCCAGTACGTCGTTGACGATGGCGATGTACTGTTGGACTTCGCCGGCCGACTTGAACTCCGGCCACCCGAAGAAGTCCAGGACGGGTAAGCGCTTCCAGAGGCCGTGCCACCGCTTCGACAGCACGCTCGTGCGCACCAGCTCCCTGACGTTGAGGTGCGCCAACCTGAGGATGAACTTGCACAAGTCATCGTCCAGGGCGCTGATCCGATCATCGCCGGCACTGTCTTGGTCAGCAGTTGGGCTTGGCGGCGGCGGCGACGTTTGCTTCGCCTCCTTCATGGACTCCAAGGCGGCCGGTTGGGGAAGCAGGCAAGCAGTGGCAGACCCTGGATCTGAAACAAGGTAGTCCTAGTCAAAATTTTCATGTGTAATACGATAAAAAAAAGTTCCGTATACATGACTAAGCACACCGATGACAAGAGGCGAGCGACATTGAGATTAGACTAAGCAAAATATTGCTCATCAGCATAGAGCATTAGAGCTCAAAAGTACATTTAAACCAACACAAGAAATTTCATTCAATTCTAGGCTCACTAATCCACAATCCCTATCCCTAAGCCAAATTCACAGTCCAATCTCCATTATCCAATGTCCAAACCCTAAGCTGAGAAGTCAGATACACATATGCACTCACCAGTCAAGTTGTCAACAGGCCACCAGGGCGGCGCACGGGGACTGGACGGGGGACGGGGGACGGGCGGACGGCCAGCGGCCGCCCGGCGCCGGCGGCTGGGCGACTGGTGGAGACGCGGAGTCACGGACCGCGCGTCCGCGCAGCGGTGCTGGGGCGGGCGGCCGGCCGGCGGTGGCAGCGGTGCTGGGGCGGGCAGCCGGCGCCCGGCGGGGGCGGGGCGGGCGTAGGCGGCGGCCGGTCGCTCGCGCTGTCCGGGACTCAAGTGTCTGGGTTTGGGCTGTTTTCTGCGGTCAGATTGAGGGCATGTTGACACGGTAGTATTTTCGTTTGTATTCGGTAAAAATTGTTCAATTATGGACTATTTAGGCTTAAAAGATTCGTCTCGCTGTGCAATTAGTTATTCTTTTTACCTACATTTAATGCTCCATGCATGTGTCGCAAGATTCGATATGACGGAGAATCTTGGAAAATTTTGGATTTTGGGTGGGATCTAAACAGGGCCTGAAATAAAATGTAAATGTGTGTTTTTTTTTTTACAAAGAACAGACTTTATTAGCAGCAAGATGCTGCAATGATGGTGAAAGAGTCACCAGTTTACAGATTGAAATAAAATGTAAATGTGTGTTCTTCAATCGTTTTTAGACTATTGACATAGCCTGATAAAAAAAAAGACTATTGACATAGCAGTTGTATGTATATATTTGCTCATACTGCAATGTGAAATACAAAGGCAAGGTATATCTTGGTTATGGATGCGCTGAATTGAATTTTTATTTTTAATACAATTTATTGCGCAAATTCAGAAATATCTCGAAAATTCACAGAATACCAAAAATCATAGGTCGTCATTCTATAATTTTTGTTCTCCCGTAAAATGGAATGTACCTGTATTCCATTCTTCCTTTTGAAAGTCGTTCCTCGGTAGAACAATATCTATTACATGAGAGTAATCAGTTTTCCATGAGAATAATCGTTTTCCCATGGTAGACACGTAGAACGATTTCCACATTAAACATGTCATTTACTCTTTCTTTTTATCCTTAACCAAGAATCTAGAAGCCTAAAAAGCTTTGTAATTTTTCAACAGATGCTAAAAGTTTAGCACAACCTATTTTAGTTATATCAGGCATCATAGATTTTGTAGTTTTAAAATTTAAATTCTTCCCAAAATAGTATATTTGAGTTTTCAACTAAATTGTTTAGCCCCAAAATATTTTCTAAAATCCAAAGAAAATCATATAAATTAATGATTTGGAAAATAGTATTTTTTTCATGTAAACATATGTGCTCAAGTAAAATCTAAAGGCTTTTTTAACAAAGCTAAATTTTATTTTCAAATTAAATTTAAAAGTATTCAAAGCAAGCACAAAAGTTTCATGGGCGCCAAAAAAATAATGGATGCATAACTCGCTGGCATCAATGTTGTGGACGAGCTGTGTGTTGGCCTAGGCATCAAAGTCGGCGAGCTGCGTGTGGTTTCGAAGGTTGTGAGATGCAACATTGGTGCTTTCATATTCCATTTTCATGACACGTGTTGATTTTCTTTAGCATATGTGAAAATTTTGATCTTGTTTTAAATGCATTTAAACTTAATTTTAAGATAAAACCCAATTTAACATGTGTTTTTTAAGGAAATTTAGATTTCACTTGAGCACGCATGCTAATAAATACATGTAAAAGGATACAACTTTCCTGACCATAAGTTTAGATGATTTTTGTGGATTTTTGGAAAACATCATGGGGCTAAATAGGTTAATCAAAAACTCAAATACAAAATTCTGGAAAGAAATAATTTTAAAAACTATAAAATTATGATACCATATACAAGTAAAATGGGCCATGTTTATTTTTTATCATCTATTTCAAAAATTACAATATTTTTGGAGACCCTAGCTTCTTTATTTTGTTCGACAAAAAACATACGACAGACAACATATATTAATGGAGAAGAAGAGTACATTTAAACATGAAATATAAGTTTGCAAAGAAGAGGAAAAAGGCATAAAGTCAGAGAGATCCACTAGAGGACTACTCTCTTGGAGGTCCTCGCTTCCTCCTTGCTTTTCGCAATTAGGCTTTCTGGGGTGGAGTAGTGTCGTTGAAACATCTTAGCATTGTGTTCCTTCCAGAGCTCCCAAGCCACCAGGATTGCCAACGACCGAATGACTTTAACAGGCATGCCCTCAACCTTCCCCACTGCATGCCACTACAAATTGAAAGGAAGCCTAGTCCGAATGGTCAGGGAACTGCCTCTCGGTCCAAGTCCTCGCTCCAGACCAAACTCATGGGTTGTATTGACAATGTGCAAGCAAGTATACCACTAATTCATCCATGCTATGACAAAAAGGACAGAAACGTTGGTTTGGCCATCCTCTTCAAGGCAAGCGATCTATTGTCCAAATGCAGTCTTGGACAGGTAGCCAAGCAAAAAACTTGCGTTTGGCTAGCGCCCCAGGGCTTCCAAATTAGAGTATCTAGTTCGATGTCTATCAATCAACAAATCTCAACTGCTAAGGCCCTGCAGCACCCTGTTGTACCGTTTTGTTCTTCTTCTCTCTTGTTGAAAAAATGGTCGGAGCTATGTCTTATGCACCATCCAGCCATCCTGAATGCCAAAAAAGAGCCTTGGTGCCATCCCCAAGTGTAATATTCGATATTGCATTGAAGAGTTGCCGTCAATTTCATAAGAAGGTAAATTCATTCGTACCCTAGGGTTTACTTTTAGAGTGCCAAGCATGCCACAACTAGCATAGACGAGGTGCTCTTGCAAATCTGTAGAGGTCGAGGATACCCAAATCTTCGAGCTTGGTAGGCGGTTACAGATTACAACGCTTCCATTTTACCTTGCATTTGCCGCCTAAAATGTGATGATCCCCGATCCATAGGAAGCGACGTCTTTTACGTACGGTTCAGTTCCTTGAGGTTGAGGGAGTCCTTCTTCTTTGATCCTATTATTGACGTGAAGGTTCTGTTTAGATATGCTTATAATCCGATTAACTAACTTTGGCCACGGGATCAATGAGAAGCATGCCAAGCACCCCGTGGTGCGCATGATTTTCTCATCCGCTCGTGACTCATCTACCGCAAAATTGAACTAAGGCTCTGATTTTACGTATTGCGGCTCCTCGGCCGCAGTTCTCCTACCGCACCGCGCGATGGCGAGGAGGATATCCAAACAGGGCCGAATTAGATTGATACATCATATATGATATATAATTCGTAAGATAAGGGGTTAGTGTTCGTCCCGAGATGTTTCTTTAATTACGGATGCATGCATCCAGATGTTGTGATGTTTATGGTCTTTCACTCTTTTGTAATGTTGACTTGAGCCATGCCTTAAAAATCTAAAAAAATATTTTTCTCAAGCTTTTTTAGCTTTATTTGTATCACAAATCAAACGTTGATTTTGATCGTTATGTATGATCTTGCAACGGCAATTTAAGTATGCCTGTGTATTTCATTGTCGGAATGGCCCCCATGCCTAAATCCTGCCCTGGACGTAGCATTTGAGTTTTCCTTTACATATGTATTACCTTCGATTAACAATTTTTTTTTTGAACGAACAACTCTCGACGTGTGTGCTTCTATTGATATAATAAGGAGGCGTCCCCATCTGAAACAAGCCGTCCAAGATTTCCGAGGAGATTACTCCTCATTACTTATTACATAGATATTCATTCATTTCCTCGGTAATTTTGCATCCACCAATTGTGGCAGATCGGCTGGTATCACACCCGGACCATCTGTGTACAGGTTCATAAAGAAAGAAGTCGCCATCTCCTTTCTAATTAATAATAGTAACCGCAAGGATAATGACGGGGGAGGACATGGATTCTAACGTGGGCATTGGTGCATGGTAGCTGTGTGAGCAAAGTGCTTTTATTGAACGTCGTCTTCTACTGCTAATCTGCTATTCTTGGATCTTTTTGTGTTTATTACCTGTTGACAGATCGAGACTACTAGCAACAAAACTTTCTGTTTATACTATGCTGATTGTAAATTTTGTTAAAAAAATGGGTGATAAAGAATTTGTTATTGGATTGTAGCCGTATGCATATGTTTTTGCTCTTCTGACACCCCCCCCCCCCAATTATTTACATTATACCTCATGTAATGTATATATACCCCATATAATAGCGCTGCCTTTACAAATCATTTAAGTACTAGACATGAGCTAATTATAAAACTAATTGAAGAAGCCCTAGGTTAATTTAGGAGACGAATCTATTAAGCCTAATTAATCTATCATTAGCAAATGTTTACTGTAGAACTATATTCTCAAATCATGGACTAATTAAACTCAATAGATTCGTCTCGCAAATTAACCTCCATCTGTGTAATTAGTTTTATAATTAGTCTATGTGTAATACTCATAATTCGTATTAAAAATTCGACGTGACAGAGCTAAACTTTAGCCCGCAGCAAACAAACAGGGATCCATGACACCAGAGCTATCGTTGGACTTTCAGAGCCGATCAAAACGAAGTTACCGTCGTGATGTTGGGGCGTGCTAAGGAGACCAAACCAAGCGAGCGAGACCACCCTCAACTGAACATGCATGCCCGAGTGGGTCGTCCTCAACATACAACGTACCCAAATTCACCAACCATGGTATTTGGACCCTAGACGCAGAGAACAACTAAAT